CGCCGCCCCCACGCCCACCTGCGCCCCAGGGGGGGTCCTGGGCCCCCCTTCCTTTGTTCTTCCCTCTATTTGCATGAGGATTATCTAATGACGCAGCAAGGCTCGCCACAACGTGACCGTCGCCATTTTTCTGTTTTTATTCTATCTCTGCCATGTGATAGATTGGGGGGGGTGTTGGAAAAGGGAGAGAGACAGGTTTAAAAAAAAAAAAAAACTTCCGGGTCTCATGACCGGGAAGGGAGAAAAACAAAAGGGAGACGAGACAAAACTCCAGGGGAAGGATGTGTGCGTGTGTGTGTGCACGCGCGCGCGCACGCGCTTCCCCCTCCCGCCTGGGCTCCAAGAAGGGAGGCTCCCGCAGCGGACAGGGAGCATCCTCCCATCCAGAGAGCCCAGTGGAGCCCCCCGCTTCTAGCCGTGGCGTCGCCCGTCCTGGTCCTACACTCGCTGCAAACGCTCTGCGAAGCTGTCAGCTTGGTCCCTTCTGGCCCCTCCACTTGCTCTTCACCCCGGAGCCCGCACCCTTCCTTGCTCTCAAGCGGGTGTAAGGTTCTGGGTTACGTTCAGCGAAATCTCACCATAAACGGAGGAAATAATAAAGTTTAAAGGCTACCGAATTTCCTGTGTTTTAAGATAGTTTGTTTCCATGCTGTTGTTTATGACAACCGCGTGGCAACGCTAGGCAGAATCTTATATTGGTTCGAATTCTTCCTCTTTCTCTATACCCTTTTCTCTCTCTTCCCAAAGCGAGACACACCCTTGTGTGGTGGTCCGGGGTGGGGGTGGGGGTTGTGTGGCGACGGACCATTCATAGCTTGATTTACTTTGTAAGAAGTCTTTAATAAGTGGTGGTTCAGGGCCAGGGTGCATTGTTTAAGAAGACAGTTGCATGCAGCAAGGTGGATTCGCGTTACACTGATCGTATTCATATTTGGAGGGCGTGATAGACCTTTCATTCTTTCCCAAGTCTCGTGTCCACGGTTGCTGAAGAAAACAGAGTATTTGGGAACTCTGCCACGTTTTTCAGTGAGCTACAAAATTTTGTACTTTTGTTTACTATTGCATTTCCTTTGGGCACTTTCACTTTTGTTTCTCTTGAGTTTCCTTTCTGGGTTCTTGTCTCAATTTCACAATTCACTGCCGAAATGGACTTTACAATCGACTAGGATTCCTCGGTTTACAGGCGCAGAAACGAGACCGTGAGTAGTGATGCAAGTTGCTCCAGGTCACACATTTAATTAGGGCGGAGCTTGGATTGAGCGCAGCTCACCTGATAGCTCTGCAGGAGGGGTGGAGATGGAGGGTGGGGGATGGTAACGTCTGGCAGCAACTCTGCTTTGTAAGATTGATATCCTAGAAATTAAAGATGGAGAACACTTACCAGATCATTACCTTCTTGGGACTGGTGTGAATTGATTGCTTCTTCAAAACCCCCTTTCTTGTGTTTTTGACTCAACTATACCTGTTAATTCAGATTCCATTTCACTCTTCCCAATGAGAGTTGGTCATCTCACTGAACAGCCCTACATGATTGTAATGAATTGTTTTTATTAGATTCACAGAGTAGATCACTGCCCCTTTGTCCACCTACTGTTTCCTTTTTGTATTTATTTCATGGTGCCTTTCACACTTCAGCATATGTAACAGTTGATGTATCTCCCTGAACTGGAGGGTAAGCTTGGAGGGCAGGGCCATGCCATATTCATTTTGTATCTCCCACCTTGCCTGGCAATGAATAAGCAAATTAAGGCCTGATGAGGATTTTTCTTCCCCCGTAATTCCTTCCTAACCATCTCTAGGAAATTCCTTCCATGTTTCTGGTGAAGGCAGAACACTGAAGATGCTTTTTAATTCTTACACCTTTGCAGACCATTTTTGGCAGCCTTCTACTTTACAGAGCCAAGCAAAACATAATTTGTTTATTCCGTTGTTTGTGTTTTTTTTAACCAACTGCTTTCTCCCCTCTTTTTACTTCGTTTGGTTCCTCTTCAAATTCCTTCTAATTCGTGTAATTAGTTATGCCATCGCTTGCCTTTTGACTTTTGCTTTCTTAGGCTCCAAAAGGTTGGTAAAGTTTAAACTTCGATTTAACTAACCTTCCTCAGCCAGGAACACAGGCAGTTGAGCAGTATGAAGAGGGCTGCTGAAAAGATCTCAGCATCTGGACAAAGAGTGCACATTCACAGCTTTAAAAGACTAGAGAATAACTGATGCATGCAATCATATTGACAGCTCAGCAGAGGGTCTGGATTGTCCCACAGATGAGTTCATACACATCTGGATCAATGAGGTTCAATCACATATCTGAACATGAACCACAAGTATTCCTTTGGATGGGGCAAATGAAGTTGGTATTACTGATGGTAACATCTAAAGTCCATATGTTTCATCCTGGATAGTAACAGTGTGGTAATAATTTTAAATATAACCATATCACCTTCCAGCAAGATGGAGATGGCACCTAATTATATTTAAAAGCATGTGCTCCCTTAAGTACAAAGGTGAACAGAGAAAAAAGGAACATAAATAAAAAATACAAAAAATACCTTCATATTTCTTCCACGCATGTATACTCACACATCATTACAAAGAAGATCAAAATTTAGTCCTCTGGAGTACTACATGGTTGCTGATTAAAGTAGAGCTCTTATAGGCACTCTAACAATATTCTTCATCTCTCCCATACACACTTAAAACAATGACAACTCCCGATGTGTGACAGCCTGGACTTTGGAATCAGGTTCTGATCTCAGCCCTGCTAATCTATTAGCTGGGCAAGTTTCTCATCAGTTCTGATTCTGTATAAAGAAATAGAAAACAAGCATAATGTCACCTACCTCAAAGAGAAGGTTTTAGGATTGAAATTTCATCAGAATTTTAAAAATATATGTAAAGCCCCCACCCTGGTATGATGCTTAGAATATAATCTCCAATAATGGGGGGCTGTAATAATTTTTTAATTGTATTTTTATTAATCCCATGTGCTTCCTAGAATTATTCTTTCCCTTTTGGCTTCCTGCTCTTGAAAATTCAACAAACCTAGTATTAGTGAAAGTTCTCTATGAAGTCCTGCCTTCAAGAAGTTCACACTTCAGCCTTGGAAAAATACATACAGAAGTAACTGTACTGATACTGGTAGATGGAAGACAAACACTTAATTCATACCACTTTATGATGATCTAAATGAGAAGCATTTACTTAAGATCTAGCTTCACTAATACCCAAGCAAAGACAAAGCTTCTGGAAGCAGTTAGGAAAATGCCACACACACACACGCACACACACACACAATCCTAAACCCTCACATTTTCACACACACGAGGAAGATTACCCTTAAAACTCCATCCAATCAGTATAATTCTGCAGCTTTTGAAAATGGTTTTCTGGTCCAATGTAAGAGGCAGGCTTCTTTTGCATTCGAGTGAAAGCTATGCTGGATTGTACCTTTGAAATAATGTTGGAGAAGTGTAGTTAATAGGAAGCACTTCAGGTTGTTAATTAATTAGACCAGTTTAATCAAGAACTATTTTCTGAGAAACTTATTCCCAGCCCTGGGTCAGGTGCTAAAGAAACAAAGATGAGGAAGACATAGACTTTGTCCTTAAGGAACTCATTCAACAAATGTTTATTGATTACCTACTGGGGATGCAGTGGTGAAAAAGACATTGAGCTTATTAGCAGGGGATTGATATATACACCTTATCTTTACAGCACCCTCAAGAAGGGTTTGATTGACACAGGGTTTGGGCAAGGCAAAAAATATACCCCACCTTCAGAACATTCTTTGTTCCTCAAAACAAAGAACAGCTCTTGAAAAAAGAAAAGATTGGTCTCTTCAGCTGGATTGAACCTTGGAATCTCCCTAGCATTTGGCAGAATTGTGAAGTGAATGAAATTAAATTCAATTCTCCTGGAGTCTGGACTATTTAAACAGCTTTCTGGTCTCTCAGTTCCTGACTTTCTCAACTCTTGTTTTGTTCTCCAAAGGTTGATTCTAAAATGCAAATCTGATTATATTATGCTCCTGCTTAAAAACTTTCATGGCTCCCCGTTATCTGCCAAGCATGGCACACAAGATCGTTTCTGATCTTGCTCTGCCAAAGACTTCCCACCTCATCCTTCATAACACTCACAG